CAACATGGACATAACTTGCTAGTAATTGCTCTTCATTACAGTACACTCGAGTCGATGTCTAGATCTGTTACTGTTGGCACAATAACTGCATAACATGCTTAAAACCTTTTAAAACTTAATTTCAGAATTATGCTTGAAAGACAGCATCTAACGGTGAAAGAATACAACAAAGATCAAAAAGCATATGCCTCAATGCTGAATAAAATGTACGTGGCAGCGAAAGAAGGTGAGCTCGAGTTAATGCCTACCGTCAATTTAGGCAGTGGACCGCACTTTTTATTGGGTTACCATCATAGTTCACCCACGCGAAATGTTGAGGGAACACGAGAAAAGTGTGTAAATTAGGAGTCGGAGACAAGTGATTTACAAACTTTTCGAATTTCCTCCCAACATCATGCGTGGCTTAATACGCCAGGAAACTAATTTTGATGTCATCTATGATCTACAACTGATCTCCTCCATCAATATGGAATCTATGTGTTAAATATCTTAATTGGAAATCTATATGGTTCGTATGTAGAATGTGGATAACCTGATTTTAATGTAACATTTACTTTAGGAACTTTGACGGAATTCAGAGCGACGTTACCCTCTCACTATCTTGGAATAAATGAGGTAACAAGCCATACTTCTGTATATTTTCAATCTCAAACAAATCTTTCTCGGCTGGAAGAACGATTCAAAAAGTGCGGCAAGTTGATACAAAAACAAACAGATTAAAAGGACTCGGAACAGTGGTAGGTCGTATAAACGCTTACAAACGCCGAAAGATCCTCCTTAATAGCGTATGTTTAGTTACCATTTCGGTCCTTAGTTATTTTTTGGTGGAATCTTAAGCGCTAATGGCTGATTTGACGAATGCAAACTTACCTAAGATAGGTAGAGACAGGCAGTATTTACGGAGCAAAGTCAGTATCTAAGCAATTGCACACCTACACCTCCGACCTTTTCATCAGATGACTATTATTGGATTCCTCATTTTAACCACCTGGGAGCTCTTAGTATCTAGATATTGACTCTTTTTTTCTGTATGTGTGTCACGGTGATGCAGGATCTTTCTGGCCATCCATTGGGTAAAAAGCTTTCACGGCCCTTCGAGGATTTGGAATTGCACTTACAAGAAGTTGAAGATAGTGAATTCAGGTGAAAAAAATGTTCAAGACTTTTATTAATTTCGATAAATATCTTCCGCGCTTTCACGTCTCAATTACAGTCAGCCTTACAGTCAGTGCGCTGAACTCCGCGTCAAAAGGTCTGGGTTCAAGACCTGAGCGAATCATTGGGTTGTATTCCTGTATTCTTGGGCAAGACAAATTATTTTCACAATGTCTCTCTCCAACCAGGAGTATAAATGGGTACCAGCGAATTCTCAGGGGTGCCTGATAAAATATTCGAGGAGTAGGCGGCTGGAAGAGAGGAGTAGCCTTGCGGAGGATTGGCATCCCTACCCAGGGGGGAGTAGGGATACTCCTACTCGCTTCATGCTATGGAAACCGGAATAAGCTGCGGCTGAAGAGCTACATGGCTCGAGTTCAAAGTTTACCTTTCACTCATTTATATTTATCTTTCATGAAATCTTTGCAGAATTGATATCAATCATCCATTATTGACGGGGTGGAGGGAAGGCAGATCAGCAAGTGCCAGAGAGAATGTCAGAAAGTTTTCGAAAAAATCATCCAAAGGTATGAAAGTCTAACAGATAACAGTTATTTAAGATCACCAGTGACCGTCTGTTATTTTCGTTCACGAAGGGTATACGGGAGCACTATGGGGCATAGCCCATCAGGTTACAAATTAAGTCGCCATCTCTGATGCCAATCCAGCCATGTGATTAGTTAAATTGATAGTGCAAAGTGCACATAGTGCAAAATGTCATAAAATAATTGACTATGCCCACGTCTATACCACTTCCATATATATTTTATCAATAAAATTTGACCGGCTGTAAAAAAAAAAAAAAGAAAAAAAGGTCCTCTTGCCTTGCCGTTCTCTAGTTGAAACTTTTAACTGGACATGCATGGAAACATAAAGCAGTCACAGGCTTATTTTGGTCAATCTTTTCTCATAAGATTAGTTCTCTCGGTCATTTGGTCAGCCAGTCAGTCAGTGCATCTGTCAGCCAGTTAGTTAGCAGTCGGTCAAGTAGGCTGGTCGCTCAGTCAGTTTAGTCGACGTCTCTCAGTTAGTCAGCAACCCTATGCAGTTCATATTTAAATGACTCTAATCTGACTGACTTACATCGACAGTTACCGGCGTTCATCCGAGGCTTGTTGATACAAAGCTTGGAAAACCGCTCATAAAAGAGGCTAAAGAACACTTCCCTGAGTGGTCTGACGAAGAGGTAACATTCCATCACAGAAATATTAATCACAGATAAGTTGACCCCGGGATAGGTACCTTGTTGGACTCTAGAAAGAACGATCTGTCCAGCGTGCTAGACGTGGCCCTTGTTTTGAGTTCTTGTTCAAGGGATCTTTCCCTATCTATGCTTCTCTTGAGGCCGAATGCGTTGACCCATGATTATCAATGATCCAAATTTTTGCTATCTTGGTGTTGCTGTTTATCGAGTTCCGCTTAGAGCATTTTTCAACTGACTTTTCTGAAATCGTCACCAAAGTAATCGCAACAACCAATAAGAGCGTAGGAAAAGCTCACAAGGATCCAATGAGAACTCATTGTGAAAAAGCGCGGGAAAACGACGGTGCGCAGGCCGCGCTTGGTTTAGTTTGGTACCTGATTGGTTGAGAGGGAGGCACAATTTTTCTAGACCAATCACAACGCCGAGATCAAAAACAATGCAATCCTGAATGACTTTCCCTCAATGATCCTAATTTGCTCTCAAAGAGAAAAAAACCGGAAGTTAATCAGTAAAAGACTTTGATTTCAATTTTACTGTTGTAAAAAACCACGAAGCCACCTAGCATTCTGCATTTAGAATAATCCTTGATTTCTTACTAGATTCAAATGATGTTTGAGCAGTTTAAGAGATTCGACACCAACGACGACTTCAACCTTGATACACAAGAGGTATGAAAGGAAAAGGAACTTTGTTACCTTTTTTAACTCGTGGATATGCGATAAATCATTTCGCGGCGTTAGCATGGTCACAGGAGTCTAGGGAGAGCAGATGGCGGACTGATTGTTAAATATAGCGGATCGTTATCAAAATTTTTTTCTTATTTTCGTCATTCAAAATAGTAACTCACTGGCTACCCAAACTCCCTTTGGTTCCCAGAGGCGTTAAAATACGCTCTCTCATGTTTGAAGTAAATGCGTAATTTTCTAAAGTAGTAAGTTGCAGCCACTACCTCACTGTGAATGAACATGTTTTAATTTCCTGTCTTTTCAGTTATTGAGAGCAATACCAGATACGTTAGGTAGAATGGCAACCACTGAAGAAATAAAGGTAATTATGATGTATTAAGCAAAAAAAAATTAATTTGGTTCATACGGTGGCCCATAGAGGACATGCTATCCACTTTTTAAATTCAATTTTATCGCGCGATAGTATCAAAATATCGCGTGATAAATGGGAAACTTGTTAGGTCGCACGTGATCGGCTGTCACGCGCGTTGTGTCCGTGGATGGGACGACAATGGCTGCAAAGTTGGAAAGTTCTTTCTTATTCTAGAAATTTACAAACCTGCAATGTAATCAGAAAGATTAGATAATTCACATTTGTTCTCAGACACTGACAGCTATCTCTGAAAGTGTCTCTGAAGATTTCGCAAAATCAAGGTTTACTGTACTGATTTACAGAGCTGTGTCGCGGAGGTAACGCCAAGTACTGCAAAATGATCTTTTCACGAAAATAAAACGATTTATTGACCTCAAAACATGCCTCCTCAACTATGGCAGTTGTTATCGTCCACGGAAACAACGTGCGTGACAGCCGATCACGTGCGACCTCACAAGTTTCCCATTTATCGGGCCACCGTAAGTTTACCATCATCATTTAAGTATAAAACAATTTAAAAAATTCTTTAGTGTGGGTTGCATGATTAATATTCTTGGAGGGGCTCTGACGAGAAATAGTAGATGGCAAAATCCATTACTTATAAAAACTACAGACAATTAATTTTTGCTTGCAGGAAGCCATGTTAGAGGTGGACATAGATGATTCCGGAACGGTGGATTTCTTCGAATTTCTTTGCGTAGCCAGACTAATTTCGCAAGGAAAGGGTAAGTCAATAAATATCCATGCAGTACGTAAACGCGACATTGAGCTAGCACCGAGGGATGCATTCCAATCCTATATCAAGTATCCATTTTCTGTTTTCTAGGAGAAGCAAGGCTATTCAAGAAAAAGACTTTAACAGCATTACAAAAACCCAACGGAAAGTCAACCATCTGTTCTGTTCAGTAGCTTCTACCACGCTCCACACACTTCAGAACTTTTTTCAGTCAATATTAGGACTACATGTGTTTCACTTTGTTTCTTAAAAAAAGGGAAAATACTTAGACTCAAATCCGACAAAACATTACATAATCAATGCCAATAAAATCTAGACCTGCCGAAAGATACGCCGTAATGTGGATTCTAAGAAAGTCCTTAATATAATTCAAAGACGAACCAATTGCACTTAAATCCTATTTTCAGAGAAACCTTTGAGAAACCATCTGAAAACCGAACACATCTTTTAGGTCGTAATCCACGTTGAATATTCATTAGCAAATAATTACGTATTTATCATCACTGTACATATGTATCATGGAAACATTCAACGCGTTATTTATAGTCTTTCCTGATAAAGAAATTCCATAGTTAATTGTACATAGAATTAAATTAATATCTTTATTTCTTCCACTTTGAAATAACTGGTGATAAATCTGATTGGCTCTCATCAGTGCACTTTATTTCCAAATCGCGCTATTTTTCACTCTAAATCACATGTTTTTCCCAGCCAATGAGAAGGCTTTTTTAAAACACAACCACCAATTAGATTTCAAGGCTTCTAAAAAAAACACTAAAAATTTCAAGAAAATGAAGTCAATTTTTTCAACTTTTTACAAACCAGCTCAATACTGGATAGATAAAATATTTATACAGAATAAGAAAATCCTGTATTTGAGCAACCAAATTTTGCGATTTCAACATAGATGTCATAAAAAGGTAATTGAACTTCATGTGGTGCAATTTTGGTCTGAAATCAAACTAGTGATTTCAAATCAAACTTGCACTGTACACTTGTTTGAGTTTGAAATCACTAAAATGATGTCAGACTGAATTGCACCACTCAGTTCAATGACCATCATGAATCCAACTGGTGTTTTAATAAAAGACACAAACAAGAAACAATTCTGACAGATCCTATGTGCAAACAGTGATCAAATAGTTTTTATACCTTCCCCTTCCTTTCCTTTGCCTCAAATTGACAGTATTTGAGAATCTCTCCAAAGCACAGAAAAATAATTTAATCAACTCACTATTTAATAGTTTTGTTGCCTCTGCAGTGGCAAAAATAACTTTTGGTCTAAGTAGCAGAATTTTGTTTTTGCCTGTTGTTAATGGTACCCATATACTCGTATACCCATTTTTAATATTTCCTACACCATGTGCTTTTGAGTGAGTGTCTCCAAATTCCCCCTCCCCTCCCCTGACAACCTTTGTAAAAGGCATTATGGAAAATGCAAACATGTATACTCTATGCAAATTAAACCTTTTTTAAATCATTTTTTGAGGGCAAATGCGAAAAACATCATAGGATCCAAACTAAAGTTAAAATTTTGAACAAAAAAAAACTATTTTGAATTTCATGAACCAGGAAAGTATACAAGGCAGTATGAATACCCATATCAAATAGGGCCTCTCACATTCATCATAATACTCACTAGGAGACATCTGACTTGTACATGTCATGTACTCTGACCAAATGGAGGCAAACAGAGGTGAGAAATTCAGCTGCATGTATATTTACAAATTGAAACAATGAACAGATCCTCTATGAGAACTGCTAAGATGCTTCTGCATACAATTACATTCCAGGCTATTCTTCACAATTTTCTCATGTGTTCTTTGTCATCTTGTGCTCTTTGTTCTCCTGTGGAGATCAAGAAAAGCAAAATTCTTTAGAAAACCTATTGACAGCCTTTCCTTCCTTATAAAATTAACCCTTTAACTCCCATAAGTGACCAAAAGACAATTCCCCCTCACAACGTCAATACCATACTCGGCAAATATGATGAGAATAAAGAAAAATGTCAATTAGGTGATTATTAGACAAGTTGATTCAATGCCAAATTCTCCAAACTAACATCATAAGAACTGTATAGCAAACAGTAGGGAGAATTACAGATGAAATCTTCAGAGTGAAAGGGTTAACAATGAGCTCAGTGCTGCTAATTCAAACACAAAAAAAATCATTGACTAACAGTCCAAACATTATCACAGCATTTTCCAAAAAAATTAAATAATCTTGGTATTTTCACCACATTCATCATCTTTCAAATTACACTCATTTTCCTGTTCTTTCCTTCAGACTTCATTTTTCCCTGACTTGACTTTAAAGTTACTTTTCCCTGACATTGAAGAGATTTTTCCAGTCTTCTTCCTAACACGAGACACACACTCTTGGAAAAAGGTTGTATAAACCCTTTAACTCCCAAGATCTCATTAATAATTCTCTTTACTGTCTGCTATACAGTTCTTGTGATGTTAGTTTGGAGAATTTGGTATTGGATTAACTTATAATCCCCTAATTTATATTTTTCTTTATTCTCATCACTTGTCTGCTTGATATTGTATTGATATTGTAAGGAGAAATTCTGTCTTGGTCACTCATGGGAGTAAAAGGGTTAACAATTTTCAATTTCACGGGAAAGCAAGAAACCTCTAACTATTTTCCAATTTGTTTCAATAGCCTGTGCATGTTTAAATTGGATTAAGGTTATGCACCAATCAATTAAAGGCTTCATCTCCATCCCCCTCACCAGCTGTAGCAATCCACAGGCATCTGACAGTCCTCCATGCCCAAAGGTGAAGAATTTGAACCTTGAATGGGTGGGGATGGGAAATTTGAACCTGAATGGTCAAGTCTTTCCAACTGAATAAATGTGTTTTATCTTTTAACATGGAGGTGTTGGAAGGTAAAAAGTTCACTTCTGCTGGTAGATGGCTCAGTAGAAAAGGCATACAAGAAAGCGAGAGTCACTAATTTGCCTTTTACAGAAAAATTAATAATCAAATCCCACACTTAGATGGGGCATTTGAACACAATTTTGGTCCCATGGAGGGTGGAATTTGAACCAACCAAACTACAAAAGTTTAAATGCCTGGGGGGTTGCCCAGTTGAGGAGGGGAGGAGAGGTTGAAGCTTCAAATTGACAGATGCATTATGTTGTGGTAAGTAACTGCTAAAAGGCTCTAAAATTGAACAACCAGGTCACTATTAATATATCATTAACTCTTTAACTCCCAGGATCTGCTGGTTAATTCTCCCCTCCAGCTGCTACACATTTCTTTGTAAATTAGTTGCAAGAATTTGGTGTTAGATCAAGACAACAACTTCTACCTGATACATTTGAGTATTCTCAATACCAGTTTGCTGGATAGTGGATGGAAATGGTAGGGAGAAGTTACAAGTGAATCACTTCTGGGACTTAAAGGGTTAAGTTCAAGCTACAGATAAAACAAAAAATAATGGAAAAAGAGAACATACTTGATACAAACTCAAATTCATGTTGACACCCAGAATGCATGTAACATGAGTGATGTAATCCAATAGCTTTATGGCAACCGATATCCTTGAACTTTTGCAAAATTGGTGATTTACTTTCCTCATTATTCATAACCAACATTATCTAAAAATCCTTCTCTTTAAAATAGCATGGATATCTTTTGTCATCCACCATGTGCAGTTAATTGTGGTCATCATCTATGCATACACATAAATTTATTAATTTTAAGGGGACAACATCTCTGTAATTCAGTTTATATGTGTGTAAGCAATCAAAATATTTCCTCACCGGAAAAATGCTAAGATTTTGTTTGGAACTCTGAACACAAACTTCATGGCTTCTTGTCTTCTCCTAAGGGTCTGTCTGTTAGATGTTACTCTTCTGTTGAATTCTGCAAATCTTCTATAAAGTCTTGGGAATCCATAGTACTATGGGAATGTTAAAAAAATAGATGTCAATGCATTCCTAGCTCTCTGTGTGGGGAACATAGAATGAATCCACTCAGATTTGTCTAATTTGTTCCTGCAAAAATGATTTCAAGCCAAGATCTGGTCACATGGTAAAAATATTTTTTACTGATCAATCATGTTTGATTAAGTTGGCTTGACATCAGATGATAGACATCTCAATAAGTTGGCTTTGGAATTACAACCATTCTTAAGTTATTTCCAGTGAACTGAAGAAGATTGAAATGTATTGACTATGGGAGAGTGGGATCTATACTTAAATACAGTCCTAGTAAAATCCCTTAGAGTCCCTTGTGTCTGTCAAATCAGAGACAAAAAAAAAATTGAGACTGATTTCCTTGCCCTTACAACCACAGTCTACTGATAAGAGGGCCCTGGGCTTACAAACTATCAATGTGATCTCTAAATCTTGTCAGCCTTTACAGAAGTATGAAAGTACAGTGAGACATTTATTTGTCTTGGCATGAACTTCATGTGAAGAAAATTTATGAGTTCCCATGAGGAATCAGACCTTAGACTGTCAGATTCCAAGCTCTGCTGCTCTTCCACTGAGCTACAGAGACTCTATAGTGAGCTGTGCCATTGTGACATTCACATGTGACACATGTCCTGTCAAAGGCATCATGTGTGTAAAAAGAATAAGAAAGATAGTAGATTTAAAACTCTGTAAAGACATAAGGAAAGATGTTTTTTCCTCTTGTCGAGAGACAAGAAAATTGTTTAGGAAATTTTCCAATACACCGTATGAATACTTCATCTCACTTACTGAGATCGAAGTAGAAAGATATCACAATGTTTATCTCAGTTAACCAGGCTGAAATTTCTAATTGAAAAATAGCGTTACTGATCTAAAATCTCGGCGTAGTGAAGAGGATGACATTTCTGGCATGAACAGATGATAATAAACTAGTCCTTTGACAAGCCAGCTTTGCTACCCAGCTCGTATGGAAAGCACCAAACTCTAAAACTCATAAGCTTATTGGCATCCGCCAGTTTCGTTTTGGGTATTTCGGCAGATTAACGGCAGAACATTAGCCTAGTGAGACGAGACGGTTATAACAGCTGTAATATTTGTCCAAGCATGATGTGTGGTATTTTGTAACCAAATGAACTGTTACGTCACCCTTGACTCAGCTACATGTAGCCAGTTCACTCGAATCATCGATCGGTTCCGTTCTCAATCTAACCACAGTCAAATTTAAATAGCAAAAATCAAGTCACCTTTTCATAAGCAGTCGAAACACAAAATTTCAGCTATGATCGGAGTTCATTTAACTTCACAAACATCACGAATCACCTGATGTAAACTCCATTACGATCAGAGCACTATTTCCTAGAAATGGATATACCTTACATAAAATTTCTCCCAGAGCACCAGAATCAATCACATAACAAAAAATGCACATACTCACCCTTCCCACTGCATATACAGTAACTTTTTTTCCAAGAGATACAGCTATGAGGGCTAAAATTTTCTCCATGAGTCGCGACTCTCGTCGGTTTGCACATGTTCTTAAAATTAGCTGTGTCACCGCGCCTCATGTATAGTCCGATAGTCTGGGTTCGGAGTTAAAACTGACCAATGCGCATCGAGGACAGAAATAGCATCAAAATAAAGTATTCGAACGACTAAGAGGAACATGAAAAATCTAACCACTTTATTATTCGAATAAACACTGCAATATTCTTGCTTGTATTTGGTTAGCTTTTCAAACAAGTCTTATTTTCCAATTTAACACTGAAAATTTTCTTTGTTTGCACGTCTGTTTTCCTATAAATTCTGATTTAGCGTTCTGAAAAAATTACTACAATCGATCGATGGCAAAAATTAGGAAAAAGATATAGAAAAGTATATATCTAAAGGACAATCAAAACTACTCGAGCTACAATTTGTAAAAAAGATGGAAAATAAACTCATAGAGGGACAAATTACCTTTGACTTAACCTTATTTTGTGCGAAAAATACATTGATATCACTCCAATCGTATAACTTTCCGTGCGTCTATGAAATCGGAAGAACAGATCGTTTTAAAACCTATTCTTCCCTTCTGTACTGATCACACTGTTCTGGTGATGGTGAGAAAGCAAGTTAAGAACAGGCTACGGACAGACAGACTAAAAAAAATTGAGAAACATCTTGCGTCCCGCAGCTGTTGTACGAATTAAACTCAACATTACAAAACGATCGTATATAGTGAATTATATTTTTCGTCTTTGTTACGAGCGTAGGACATAGAAAAAACTCTGAGTCTCCATGAGGAATCGAACCTCAAACCTTCGGATTCCGCGCTCCGTTATCGATGCTTTATCATCGAACCACAGAGACTCTACGATCAGCGAGGTCTCAGAATTTTTTCTTTGTCCCACTCGCGATAAGACAAAAAATATCTTTCACTATTTCTTTACCGAGCTCAAAACTTACCATCTTTCTCATCCTATCGCTCGTATGTATATAGCCAGCCGTGGTGTGGCCTGGTTTTCCTTTAGTTCCTCAATGGTTAGTGCAGCACTTAAAGAGTACAATCGATGTTAGTAATAGCAATCGATGTTAGTAATAACGATAACTTTACGGGTTTATCACGAACCAACATAACGACCAACTCCCTGTTGGTAGAGCACTGCATTGGTATCACAGAGGTCATGGTTCAACTTCCGTACAGGCCTGTTCATTATTGTGAAGATTGCTTCCGAATTCATTTCTTAAATCGCAGTTCACATAGATAATTTTCAAATGTTTACAGTCATTTAAAAGCAATAGTCTAGTCTTCATCTACGCTTTTTTCATCAGAAGCAAAATCGAGCATTTTTTTAAAGTCATTTTTTAAATCAGCTCAATTGAATCTTGCATAGATACCTAACCCTTTGACACCCACAAGTGACCAAGACATAATTTCTCCATACAGCATCAAATTAATACAATATCAAGCAGACAAGTTATAAGAAAAAAATTAAAAGAGGGGATTATAAGTTGATCCAATAACAAATTCTCCGAACTTATAGTATAAGAATTGTATGGGATGCAGTAAGGAGAATTACTAATAAGATCTTGGAAGTGAAAGGGTTAAAATTTTTGATGCTTTACTTCAACTTGTACTCTTCAAAACTATCTACCTCCAGGTTAAGGAAATAACTGTTATTCAGCCTCTTGATGGGAGTTCAAATACAATCTTAAGGAGCACTCGTAAACTATACAAGAGCTTGAATTGCAATTTCTATGAAATTTGCTATGAAAAGAAAGGCACTATGATACAAAAGCTAGGTATCTTTTTGATGCAGTACTGATAAATCCCTTTATTATACACATTCCATCAGAAAGAGTTTATTTCCTACACCTTTGCAAAGAGAACATGTCAGGGACTGTGCAGCAAGTTTTTGAGTGGAGGGGCTATTTTTGGCTCTGTTATCTTTGTTAAATTATTTTTTGTTTTGATTTATTTCTACTTTTGCAAAAAAGTGGGGGGGTGGAGGGGGGCTAAAGCCTCCCCCAGCCCCTCCCCCTGCATGGTCCTTGCATGTAAGATATCACTAGAAAAAAAAAACATTAAAAGTTGAACATGCTCAAATTTATTTTTCCTTTGTTTTCCTTGTTTATGGTAGGCTCCACTAAGTCTTTTGACTGACTCCTCTAAAAAAAGTTAAATATGAACTGTACAATGCTGATAAGTAAAAATAGAATGTCCAATAACTAATTACAATGACTGAGAAAGCTTTTATTATCCAACTGCACCAACTAGATTACAAATATCACCTGATATTTGGACAGTCGGTTATTTTTAACTGTAAAAACCTGGTGTTAAACCAGTCAGCTGCATGGGTTCATCAAAATACAGAACAACTCAGAAAAATACTTAGGGATACTTCACAACAAAACATCTAATAAGATATATCTATTTTAAATTTCTGAGTTATGGACATAGTGAGAACCACTGTAACAGGGGTTGTGAGCTTCCTTAAAGGATTAAAAGAAGGCCATGCATCAATAACCTTTTCATGTGTTGTCACACTGAGTAATAGTTATTTCATTGCATCTTTTTTCCTTTGATCTCAAAGGTACCGTACTAGAGAGAGCTGCATGGTAGAAAAAAGAAGTTTAATTAAAAACAAAACAAAAGAAAACAAACAAATAAACAATAAAAGTCTAAAAATGTAACAATCAATATTGTAGGAACAGTAATCATATTTTGCTCATCAGCAAGAACAAGACCTTTTCTTGGTTCAAACTTTGTAACTCATGTTAATCTCCTCTACCTTTAACCCTTTAACTCCCAGATCAAATTTGTAATTCTCCTTACTGTCAACCATACAATTCTTATAATGTTAGTTCAGAGAGTTCAGTATTGGATCAACTAACTATCCCCAAATTGATATTTTTCTTTATTCTCATGACTTATCTGGTTGATATTTTACTGATATCGTAAGGAGAAATTCTGTCTTGGTTGCTCATAGGAGTTAAAGAGTTAACCACACAGTCAAGCAATTTCTATGTTACATTCATAATCCTAGGGGAATCCTTCTAAAGTAGACAACAATTATTTTAAGGATTCCTTCATTAATAAGGTAATCATTTGATTCTACAATCCTAAATTTTATCAAAAATATTACTAATGGCTCCTTACTCCCAACTAGGAAAAACAAGGAATATTTCAAGTGTACAATACACCACTGACATTGCTATCACTGGTAGACTTGTAATTCATCTCAATCCTCCTTTGAAGTATTATATTCTATAAAAAAGAGAATACACCATATTAAATTTCCAACAATAAAAAGATATATCACATTTACACCCAGCTATCACACCACCCAGAAAACATGAAACTTTACAGGTAAATTAAATAACATTTGAATGGACAGTAAGAGTTTTTTTTTTGAAAACAAGTAGGCCAGTAATTTACACTTGTTTCATCATCACTTGAATAAAAAATTGAAAGTTTTCTTCTAGATTTTCCTCTAGAGTTTCAAAAAAATCTGCAATTCCATTTGTGAGACTTTTGTTTTTCACAGCCAGGCATCCAGTGTTTTAGGAGATTCTGTTTTTCTATGTCTTAGGATATTCTGCCATTCCACCATTCCTCCATTCCATCATTCTGCTGAATAACTCAAGGTGTTGTGATTCCCAGCTTGGTCACTTTGCAAAGTTAGCAGCTCTTTTAGGCTTTAAGTTGTTGATTCAAATGCTAAAATGTTCTCTTTTCAAGGAAGACAATTTTTCCTTAAGCTTCCACAATGTGCATATCAAATCTATTAACCCTTTAACTCCCAAGATGTCATTAGAAATTCTCCTTACTGTCTGGCATACAATTTATATGATAATATTTTGGAGAATTTGGAATTGGATCTCAATTATATTTTTCTTATCTGCTTGATATTGTAGAGATAGTGTAAGGAGAAATTCTGTCTTGGTCACTAGTGGGCCTTAAAGGGCTAAGACTATGTCTTGACTATGTCTTATGTTTCTACCTATACTTCTTTCATGCTCTAGCTGCCTCATCTGTGCTTTATGACAGAACAGAGTAGAGTCAAGATTTCTCAATTTGTTAAAGATCTCCAAAGGCAAGGAGACTTTGTTTCACAATCAAGAGCAAGACCTTCTTTGGTTGGTGATCATTTCCTTTATTCTTATAACCTTAATGTGTGATTCAGGGGTGATACTATAAGGGGAGAAATTAGATGTTGGTCACTTTTAGGAACAATCAGAGGCAAAATCCTTTAAAGGTGTCACACCCCCTCTCCTCGTCTGGTGACAAATAAGTTGACAAGCTAAAAAAACAGATTGTCCAGCTATTTAAGAAGAGCAGACCTGTTATGTTATGTTGATATTGTACATAAAAACACTTAATTGAATAATATGGAAAATTTTGTTCCATTTTGACCCTGATTTCATCACTTAGAAAGAGCAAAGTGAAGACATAATTAAATGGCAGCTGAAATTCTGATATTGATTGCAGCTGAATTTTGAGATGATAATTCATAATTGAAGACAATGAATAATGTGAACAAGATGCAATGGTTATGATGCTCATTACCTGATGTTTCTTCATCATCACTCCATTTGCAAAAAGTTCCTTCGCGCCGTCCTCTTCTCAATTTTTCTTCTAAACTCTCCTCTGTCTCAACTGAAAGAAGAGAAGAAAATGTTAAGAACCAACCAAACATATATCTCACTGGAAAAAAAATGACAACGAACCTTCTAGATTTGGAGTTGCACAGGCAGTTGGGGGTGTGAGTGTACAAGCCCATGCTAAAGCAGCCTCTTTGAGACGTTTCTCTGAATTATTTCTTGTTACTTCTTGATCCATGTTATTTTTCACAACCGAGGGATCTGCAAGACAAGTTCAACTTCAAATCTCAAATTTACTGCAGCCAATTTATGTTATCAACTCAGTTGATTATACTAAACTACTCCATATAAACTAGAAGGGCAGTCAGTATCTCACCACACTCTGGCAATAGAACCTCAAAAGCAGTTGTTTGTATGAGGGTACATGCCCATGCCAAAGTAGCCTTCTTG